ATTACGCAAATTTATTAATACTATTATTAATTTACGTTTGTGGTTTTTTTTTGTGACACGTACAGAACTGAATCGACTTTCAATTAGTTGACGAAGCATTAGGCACGGTGCTATTAATGGTTAATGCATACTTGCAAGTGGAATGTACGTACCTAATGTTGCTTTGATTTAAAAATCTCAGTCGCGGATGATTAATGAACTCGCACAAAGGACTAATGTAAAAGTTCAATGATTTATTTCGATACAAAAGAAAAAAAGGAGGAAGAAACAACAGGAGCGAGATACGACGTTGCGTACAAAGTAAAAGTGTAAATAACCGAGTCTAAAAAGCACGGATACAATTGTGTTTGCGTAGTAAAAAAGAAATACAATTATACGAGAATATAAAATGAATAAAAATATGGCGGAAGCATTATCACGTGACTATCAATTACTACTATAGTTTCAATCTTCGACTTAAAGACCGTTACGAAACGTTAAATGCGTTGACAACAGTAAGTGGACAAATTCAAATTCTGAGAGAACTGTAAAATGCAAATTTGCGAGCAAATTCGTCATCAAGTTCTGAGAAAATGCAAATGGCCCGGTCCAATCGAATTTTTACGTTTAGACTCGTGTTTTTCGCAATAGAAAAGCATTTCTTAGTTGTTTTTACTCTACGAGCTCGTAAAATTTTTCCTTTATGTGGATCAATATGATTTTCAAAACGATATTAAAAAGACACGTATAAAATCATATTTTTTCTTTAGGCAAGCTTCGTGGTCATCTTAACCTCTAATTTTTATTATTGAAATTGTTAAACAAATTTTACGAGTTCGCTGTACGGTATCGTCTCATTAGCGTCACGCGACGGTACGAAGCAGGCAACTAACTTTTGAGAATTCCTGACTGTATCTCGTTCAATGAAAATTCGCTGTAAGCGAAAGAAATGATTAACCCTTTGCACTTGAGAATATTGTTCAGCACAAATATTCATTACCTTCTAATGAAATATTAGCGATATTTTTCGTAACTAATACAAAGAATTATCTTATATAAATTAAGAGACAGAACTGTCTTTTTCAACGTATTCATCCGTTATACAAAATTCAATATTGAATTTAAAATTTTATAATTTTGTTGTGTCAAGGCGTCAAGGCGACTGAACGGCGTCTCTCGAATTCAAAGGGTTAAAATAAAATAATAAAATAATAATGAAACATAACAAAAGCGAAAATGACTTGCAATATCCCTTGCCCACCGACATTTCTCAAAAGCCCACCCACTACTTCCCATAGCGAGGGTAGAAATGTTTCAATACTGAGATCGTCGAAACGCGACACTAACGAAACGACGCTACGTCTTGATTCGAAGTTGAACCGGTTGGAAGAAAGTCGACAGAAACCACGATTTAACCCCTTGCCTTATGATTCTTTTAAAAGCTAGATTTAAAAGAATTACTATCATCGATAATTTACCGGGACAAGAGAAGAAAACTGATATACTTGTTCTAAACATATATCAATTGTAAAATTTCAATACCCATGATTGCAAAACAATATTTTCAATCAATACGAACTAAGAAACCTTCGTATGGATTAATACCAGGACTACCAGACCAAAACAATGCATTTCAGATAAAGATACTTTTGCGGAGGAAACAACAGATACAAAATTCTATGAGAAATAAAGTAACAGAAATTAATACTGAATTGCACAAGTAAAATAAGTTTACACACTTTATGCAAAACCAAAATAAAAATTACTGCTAATTTCAAAAGATTAACTCTTGTAATTTCTAGTATATAAGAAATTAAAACTGAGAGGTTCGAATAGTTTGGTAGTTCCAGCGTTAAAATCAATAGAGGATCTCTTCCAGATGTCCGCCTCGCAATTATAAGGCAGGGGGTTAACAGCGGATGCTTCGAGGCTTCCGCTACATGAGCAACAGCAAATCGGAAGTTCGCTGAGACGGTTGTTCGCTCTCGGAGGCTGAGAGCAGACGTATCAGCTCCTCCTCTTGATCGGACACGAACCATTCGGACTCCGAGCCGCCGACGTCACTCAGAGGCATCAGCTGCTGGTGTAGCTGCTGTTCTAACACCTATCCGAATCCGCCAGACCAATATCGTCAATGAAACTCACATTAAAGTCCACCGAGTACGTGACAAAATCTTTCAACTACGTATTCGCGTCAAATCATCATCATCATCATCATCAACAAGCATAAACAAAGCCGGATAATATTCTTTTTTAACCGGTGAAGCAAATCGTTCCTGCCTCGCACAGCGTCTACAATAAAATACGTTCCATTTTAAAGGAAACACAAGACCGAGTATGTCACACACAATGAAAGAAAAAAAGATGGAGAAAAACCGAACGGAGGAAAAGTGCAAGGTGGACTTTAATTGAATTCGAAACGTTTCTTTTTCTCGTTTTGGTCGTGGTGAACTGAGACGTGTGCCATTCTTCAGGATGGCTCCTTTTTTTGAAATATTCAATATCATGTCAATATGCCTCGTGAGTGAGATCGTCGAACGAGCAGACGAGTTCTGTCTTTTTTGCTTTTCGTTCTTTCTGAATTTCGTTTTCTCAATTTTTTGCTCTTTTTTAGTGGAACGTCAACGAAGTCGGTTAGAGGCGAAGTAAACAAAAATCTATCGATATTAAAGTCCACCCAAAAAAAAAGAAACAAAAAAAATATTGGGGAGATCGAGTCGTGGTTAAGCGCGACGTTCGGATTTAGTACGTTAACGAGACAACAGTGGGACACTGTTAGATTTGGCGACAGTGGGATCTTTACGCTCCTCGCGTCGTTGGTCCCTGTTAATGTGATCGTGGTTACGTGTTAATGGTATTTAGTTAAGCATTTCCCAACCTACGTTTTCATTCGCGATCTTCGGCGATGATTTTCGGTGTTATCGTTAGTTGCCTGTTCCACCGATTCTGTTGTAATTAATCGGTGAAATTTCTCTTTAACTGCGGTCAAAATGTAAAAGGTGGTGGATCAGAAAATTTGGGCAGCTTATTTATTTCGACAGCTACAACTGCTTGAAAAATATTCTAGTAGCTGTTACGGTTTTCGAAATAATTAAGGTGCTAGAAGTTACTGGGTCCATCCAGTATATATTCTGATTCGATATTAATGATGACAGTTGTCTTCTGTAAGACGGTGGAAGAGTAATTCTTCAGACCACAACAAAGGTACCAATTTTCGAGGATAAGAAAAGATGAAATGTCATTTTGTTTCCGTAAAATAGTGTGAAACAATAAGTATATCTTATGTTCTTGTAATACTTGGTATTCTTGTATTTGAATCTGCACAAGTATTGTTTAGAAAACCGAATTTAAAGATTTATTTATACAGGGTCAATATTTGAAAGAAATTTCAAACAATTTTGGAAAAATTGACAAAGAAATCACGGTGCCAAAGTTATCAGCAGCTGTTACATATAAAATCTTTGTATTGATATTCATATGTGTAAATATAATATTTTTAACTTAATCTTTCTTGACAGTTAAATTTTCTATAGTTCAAAATAAATAAGTTACATAAACAAGATAAACCGTTTCTACTTCTTTCTCTAAAATACTATTTTTTCTGTAATTGTGTCAATTGATTTAACCAAAATCTCAATTAAACACTTAGCCCTATCACTGAACACTTCTACATCCCAGAACGTGAAAGTACCCTAAAACTATGTTTAGTCACAAACACATATACCCTCAAAAGAAGCTCTACTTCCTGGTATCTCGATGATGCCATTCCATTACAGGCCTCTTCCACTCAAGCGCCTTGGTGTCGGTTAATACTTTAAGCCAAGAACAGAAGGCTCCTCGTCCAACATCGAAGTAAACACGTAACGAAGCAAACAAGAAAATGTTCGAAAACGAAGAAACAAGAAATAATTACCTTGGCAGAGTCCTTTAACTTTGCCATGCTTGGGTCGTTGATGGGCTTCCCGCTCGCTGCCTTGGTGGCGTGAATCAGATCGCCAAGAGCGGAGGCAACATCCTTCACTGCGTTGATAAGCATCACTTGGGCTTCAGGATTCTGGCTTCCTAGACTGGCAGCTCCATATTTGACTACTTCAGCGAGTTGCACGATCGTTGACACAGCATTTTGCGCTGCTACGGCCAATTGTTCTTGCGATGAAGCTGCGCCCGCTACCAGTGTCTTTGTGTCTTCTACTAAAGCTTTAGCGGTCTTTAAAATGTTCTCCCTGTGATCAGCGAAGGTGTCGCCTTCATTTTCCGCGTGCAAAGTGCCTGCCGTGGCAAACATGATTGTAGTGTCCAAGTCACCGATGATCCCCGACACAGTGCTGGCTGCGTTGATGCAGGCTTGAGTGCCTCTGGAACCTGCTTGCAGGGCAGCCAGCACCTGAGACACCTTCTCCGTCACGTTCTTACTGTGTTCTGCTACTTCTCTTTGAGCGTAAGCGTCTCCGGGCGACATTTGACACGTCCCTGCGGCGCGGACGATGTCGGCGCAAGCTCGACCTAGCTCTTGGACACCAGTGCGCAGTCTAGCCGATACGTCGGCGTTGGATGCCGCCGCTGAAGCACCAGAAGTGTCCCGGGCTAGCTGAGTGTATTTATGGGAGATGTCCACTGCGAGTGGACCAAGCCTGGCTACGTCGGTGCTAGATTTTGTTGACTGAAATTTGAGAAAATGTGAAGTTAGTGTCGAAAATGTTAAACTCGAATTAACAAACATGAATATTATTAATTTATTTGAAACTTAAATCGAATGACACTATTTGTAACAATAACCAATATTTGAAATTAATGTGAACTCAGAGTGAAGATATCTAAAGACTAATATAAAAGTTATACTAAAATGTTTACCATTTCTTGTGCCAGTCGCGCAATTTCCTTTGCAGCCTCTACCATTCTAGTTTGGTAATCCACGTAAGAATCAACCGTATCTATGGTGGACATTCTATGATCTTCCAACCTGACCATTGCCCTTGAAATGGTATCAATCAACCCAGTAACAATACCATTAGAAGTAGAAATAGTCTCCAAAGTATTCTGTAACTCTTGCAGCGCATCTTTCGTTGATTCCACAGTCTCATCGACTTCGGCGTGCAGTTTAATAGCCTTAGGATTGCCACCAGATTCCTTAGTAACACAGACGAGCTGTAAAGCAGACTCAGCGACCGTCTTCGTTTGATCCAACAGCACCATTTGTTGTTTCGAGTGGACCATGTTTGAAGCAGCACCAATGGCTCCAGAGACTAACGGTTCACAGTACAAGGCGACCTGATTGACAGCATGGCCCACGTTCTCAGCTTCATATTTGGCAGCAGTTCGAAGAGGCTCTAGCTTTTCACGTAACTCACTAGCACTGCTCTCCATCTGATCAGTAAATCCTTGCACCGTACTCTCCCGCCGTGGTATCAGAGCCTGTGAAACCGCGCTAAGGGAAGCTGCATCCAATTCTCTGATCCTGGCAGACAGTTTCTCGATCGCTGCGTCACATTCCTTCTGTCCAGGTGCTTTATCTCTAATAGATGCTACCAAAGACTTAATAGAGTCGCTAACGCTCTTGCTATGATTGGCCAGCAGCTGCCAGGTCGGAGGATCCTTAGGGCTGACAGCTAAACTCTTGGCAGCTCTGACCATCGCACAAGAACCATCTATAATAGCCTTCCCCGCACTGGTGATAGGTTCTTGTGCGGCTCTGGCGGCGACGGATATCTTAGCGGGTTGACTAGCAAACTCAGGAGAGCCTGCAAAGGTGCAGAGATTATCAACAGCCTCTAGAAGTGGTTTCGTAGCTTCCGCGCATCTGTCTCTGTTAGCCTCTGAATAATTATTATCCAGCGCTTTGATCTCTTTCACTAAAGCTGATGTAGAATTAGCGACATCCTTAGCTGACTGAACGAAATGTCTCTTCGCAACAGGATTGCTAGTCTTATTTGAAGCCTCCCGGCAAGCGTTGCACAGAGCACTCGTGTACTTGGCGATCATGGTAGCAGCGGAAAGGACCTGTTGCTCGGTGCTAGTGGGATTCCCGAGGCTCTGGCAGCCGGTGTGAATCGCCTGTGCGGCTCTCAAAAACTGAGCTTGATCTACTAGACCTGGTTTACCCGCGACTGAAGTTGGGTCGCTCACGCCTGCCAAGTAAGCAGCCTGAGCTGCCGCTTCGATTAACCCACAGATCGACGAGGACACTCCTCGCACTGCTACCGAGAACTGTTCATGTTCGGACTTCTTCGCGTGGTTGGCTATACCTGTCATTCCGTCACCTAGACTCTTACTTTTTTCCATGACTGTCTCAAGACACTCAAAGTATGACGCGTCAGATATTGGCTCACTCGGGTTGTCCAGCAGAGATCGCATTGACTGGATGTTTCTGATTGCGTTGTCGCACTCATTTTGGCCGGGTGCAGCAGAAGTGCAGACATCGACGAGATAATTGATTGAATCAGTTACTGCTCTTGCGGCAGCTGAAAGCTGGTTCTTCGCGTTTGGAGCGCTAGGGTCTGCGGCTACTGATTTAGCGGTCACTAATAACTTGCTGGATGTCATACTGACGTTTTTCAAGGAGACTACCATTTGACTGCGCGTGTCGATCGTTGTTTGGCCGGCCATTTCCATTCCGACACCTAACAAGTCTCCGAATGCGTTGGTGAACTGTCTTGAAGAGCTTGCTAGCTGCACTGGAGAACGTACGGATGAGACGACATTCGAGGATGCGTCGTTCAGGTTCGCAGCTGCGTTGTTCAGGTCGCTTTGGAGCTGTCTGTTAACAGAAAATGGATAGCATGTTTAATGTATATGATAATTCGACATGGGAAAAATTGTAAAACTTAGATTTATTTAATAATATTAATAAAATATAACGTTAATGTACATAACACTAGAACTACCAAATAAGAAAAATAGTCTCTTTTGAATTTCATTTTCTTTTAATTATTGAAAGTAGGTAGATGTCTTTCGAAGATATTATTAAATGAATTAATTTATTAATGCGCATTCTAAGACTAATAGTTTGGATAGTCCAACAGTAATTATTCTGGAAAAAGGTTTTCTAACAAATAAATAATGAAAATTAATGATGACCTTTAATTAATTTTAGTCTGCGTGTAATTTGTAATTTAGATAGCATACGACATTAACAAAAATAATCTTTACACCTCATTTCAATGAACTTGAAAGAGAAATATCTTTCTAAGTTACTGAATCTGAAGTAGTACCAGTAATATATGATTGCTACACGTTAGCTTAAAGTATGCATTTTATTCTTTCTCACGACTATTACTTGTTTCATTAAAAAAATTAATCAAAAATTGTTAAAGACAGTAAATTCAACAGTTTTACTTAGAATCATTGTCATATTAGCTAAAAATATTTGTGAATAATTTATTGCTTTCTAAAAATATTAATTTTTACTCTGATGTAGGGTATATGTGCAGAGTCATTAAAACTTCCCATGCAAAATTATCGTCAACCGAACAAATGTATGTCACTGAACGATAATTGAAACACGTAAGCCAGGAAGGTAACAAGCTATCGCTACTTAGATAGATAACGATATCTTTGCGCGAACAGTAAAAGTACTCACCCATAACTCTTATTGGTCTGCGGGAACTCGTTCATACCAAGCACCTGCGTCATGTCCTCAATGTTCTTGATAGCGTCGTCGACGTCTCTCTGGCCAGGTAAGCAAGAAACGCACTTGTTCAAAGAATTCGACACCTCTTTAGCAACTGCAGCCAAATTAGCTTCATTAACTGGATCATCAGGACTCTTCAATGCTCGTCTGGATTCCTTCACGAGTCTCAGGGACTTCAATATAACATCATCTGCGGTCATCAACACTTTTTTCTGTGTCTCAGGTTGATTCGAAGTAGCAGCCACGCCGCGAACAGCGTATGTTAGATCTTTCAACAAAGAAGCAGTCTCCCTTGCTGCGCTGCCAGTATAATTCTCATTCCCTTGCTTAGCAGCGGACAAAAGTCTCGCCATCGCGAATCCTACATTCTTCGACGTGGCGCCCAACCTAAGAGCCGTAGACTCTGTAGTTTCATCAGGCAAGGGTCTCAAAGACGCAGCCTCGACTGCCCTATAAAATTCACCCAGCTCATCCTTCAGACTATTAATCAATTCCTCAGCAGCATCCAACTCCAATCCACCACAAGCTTCCCTAGCACGAGTCACTGCCGATCTTAAATCCGTTAAAGAAGTACCCAGATGCTGTGAGGTGTTATTCAATTGAAGTGCTGAAGCCTGATCAGTGACAGTTGGAAGAACTGCTCTGGCAGCTTTAACTACAGCAGTGCCAGGCTGCAGAAATTGTTCGGAGGCATCAATCAAGTTCAACTGTGCTGTGGAGTTGTCTGGTTGTGCTTGAGTACCTTTCACACCAGCCACTAGGTGTGGTATTTGCTGCATCATAGTTTGGCACTCTGCAGTTAGCTCTTTTTGACTTGACGGGTTAGTGTTGTGATGAGCTACACCGGAAGCGGCAGCTATACATTGGGTAGCCGTGGAAGCGGCTTGCTTGGCGCAAGCTTCTAACCTGCTGATCAATTTCCTTCTTAATGCTGGGGTGGCTGCAGCAGTAGTCGCTGCCCGAAGCTCCTCTGCAGCTTGGCGCAGTTGGTCTTGCATTTTGGCGTCATGGGGGCTGCTGGCGCATTGTCGTGCAGCTTCCACCATCTTTGCAGTTGCGTCTGCTAACACCTTAGCAGCTGCCAATAATCTACATTGTTGTTCTGAATCGGTTTGCCTCTCTGCTTCACCTTTTATGCTTTGGATCAACTGGGCAGTTGCTTGACCAACTACTCTTGCCTGCCTTACCATCTCACCAGCATCTCCTGTACTGGCAAACAGCTTGTCAGTGGCAACTAGTATAGTCTCCACTGCACCTTCTTGGATGGTTTCTTTTGCTCTTTCTCCTCTCGTCGCTGTTTTTATATGGTTCAACAGGTCGTTTAAAGTTCTACTGACTTCAGTTGCCGCTGCACTCAGTTCTTTTAGGAGATTGTCATCGTTGCACGTTTCGTTGCACACTTCGACTAAGTCTTCGACTGCTTTTGTCACCTCCCGAACGGCGTTCATCAGTTGTGTCTGACAAGCAGGTGATTGTAATGTGGGAGCTACGACTTTAGCACAAGCTACTAGCTGAGATGTTGCCAGGGCACATTGAGTAGCAGCAGATATCACGCGGTTTTGTGTTGCGGAATCTTCGCAGGTAGCTGCAATGTTCTTCGCTTTAAGCACTAATGCTGCGGTAGAGTTCGCGACTGCTTTTGCTAGGGCCAGCAGCATGTCTTGCAATTCACGGTTCAAATCGTTTTCTTCGCCTATCGTTGTTAACACTTGGTGAGAAGCCTCGCCCACGCGGGATGCCGCGTTCAGCAGGTTCTGTCTCGGCTGGAACGTTTAACAGATGTTGGTTAAGATAGAGCTTTTTTATTGTGGAAGTGATGTGAGTCCATTTTTCGTAATCATAATTTTGTTGGTTTAATAAACTTCTTAAACTATTAAATTATTCTCTGTATTGCTAATTTCAAAGTAGTGTTAAAGTCTAGTGAGATTATCTGCTTGTATGAATTGAAATATAAGTTAGATATACTGTGTATGTGATTTTTGTGAGACTTGAACATATCAATATATTTTTCTACGTCATAAATTGTTTTGCATAATTTTTATAAGAAAACTAATAATTTTTATAATAAACTTTAAATTGTCTATAAATTGAAAATTCATATTAAATTATATATACATGTTTTATTTTTTAATTTTCTTTAATGGACTTACAGCACTTTTGTATTAAATGTTTAACTAATTTTTGAACGAGTGAAATAATTTTAGCTGAAATTAAGCTTAAAAGAGGAAAGAGTGCGAATAAAGTGTCATATCAATTAATAAATTCCTGTTCTAGAATAAATTTTCCTGTGCTGTGAAAGATTGGGTACATACTTCCCCGAGCTTCATTAATATGAATGTACTGCATTCATTTTTACTTATCCTGCTATGATTTTCATTAAAATTATTTTAATATGTGAAATAACGTATTATATTCATGCCTGTCCATGCGAATGTACCCAAGCTTGTGATTTCTTGCTCAAAGCACGTAAGGAACTCAAAACTTAAATAAAAATACCTTGCAACATTTAATGTCTAAGGCTTCTTATTTTAAGAAAGTAATAAAAGAACGTATATCATTGCCATTTGAAAATCAAAATGTGTAATGTAGTAACGTTCAGCGACTATCTATGAAACTGGTTAGTGTTATTGCTTACGTATTTTTCGTAGATAGAAGACGTTATGTAGAAAGGCTGTACAAAAAGGCATAGTTTAAACTTTTATTTGAAATATATCTCACTTTCCCTTGTAAAAAATGTACGATAATCTTTCGTAAGAAAACCTTCTTCGAACATTTAAGAAATTTCATTATAATCATTTAATACCATATTCTACCAAATCTTACCGGTACTCTAATTTAGAATATAATATTATTTATTCA